GCGGGTGTCTTTTTGGTCGGGTCTGGCTGGGAGGGAGGGAGGGAGGGAGGGGGGGAGGGAGGGAGGGGTGGATTCATTCATTCATTTATTCGATCTTGTGTACATACATACATACTTACATATGAGCTCGAGTGCCTTGTGAGTGAGCGGCTGGTTTAAGCGGGACAATGACAGACAGCCACGGTCCGTGCACGTGTGTGTGCGTCGGCCCATCTTGCTAGGTACTGGTGCGTGAACAAATGCGAGACTCCTAATTACACTCGTGCAATGAATGGTTCGTTCATTCGTTGATCCATCCATCACTCACTCTCACCCACACAAGCTGATACCATGCAGTCGTGTCAGTGTTGGTGTCCTCACATGTTGTTTTCCACGCACATGGTGGTATTTTCTCTGAGTGATTCTCTCTCACTGTGTGCCGTCGCCGGCCATTCGCTGCAAGTCGCGGACGGCTCGGGATAGGCGGAAGTCACCTTGCACACGACACCTCTGCAAAAATGGATCGTAGTACCTACACAGACAGAAACAGACAGACATTTCTCCATTCATGTGTTATCTATCGTTCTTGGCGTGGCTGCTCACGCCATGACCCCTCTGATGAGTTTGCATCTCTCTGTGAAGGGCATGTCTTCATCCGCGATGTATGAACGTCTCATTTCTGCGTAGTGGGCGTCGCGTCTTGGCGTCTCTTCTGGCCCTTCCTCGACGTTCTCGATTGCCTTGACCCGCGATGCAATGTACGCCAGGGCCATGTCCTTGAGGTAACTGCGGCTAAGTGCGAATTGTGTGTGTCGTGTCTCGCTGTCGGTCTGGCTGTCTCCCGTTTGGCCTCACTTGTGTTCCTTCCGTTTGATCTTTTGCGTCTTGTCACCGAACAGCCCTCCAGCGCTCGCCACCTTCTGTCGCTTCATCGAGACACACCTGTCCTCATGTGAGCCCCTGTCCACATGTCAGACACACGCACAAAGGCAGCCACCAATGAGCGGAGAGGGGAATGTGTCCGTCTTGTGTGCGTGTCTGTGCGTCTGTCTGACGTGAGCGTTGGGTCGTATGCCACGCGCCCAATGATGCGTGAGTTGCGACAGATCTCCTCACAGCGTCCTTCAAACAACTCTGAAGGCAACAAGGCATCGGTAGTCATTCTGTCTGTGTGTCTCCCTCTCTGTCTCTCTTTCTGTGTCTCTCTATCTGCTTATGCCCACCCACCCATGTGGGGTGGGCAGAGAGACTCGAGGCCCGTGATCATGAACTCATCCGCCAGCTTTGACATCGGCACCTGAACGAACGAACGAATAAACCAATCAATCACTGAATCAATGATGTTTCCATGTTGGCTGGCCTCTTTCAGAACGGCGAGTCCATTGTTGTTGAAAGCCTTGACAGTCACTTCACCGGGAGAAGCGATTGGCTCCAGCTGTGCGTCTGTGTGCGTGGCGGCCGGCCGGTCCTGCAGCCGCACTGGGCGCGACAGAGACAAGTCCCACTGAGGCGGTACCTGCAGCCAACACAAACACAGGGGGATGGAGGCAAAGTGATCACGTGCCCGTCTTGTGGCAGTGTGTGTGTTTGGCTTGCCTCGTAAGGCGGCAGCATGCCTTTGGCGCGGCGGACTTTCCTGACGGCGGGCCCGAAGTGAAGCTGCGCATCGGTGAGTGAGAGCAGACCGGCCGCCACCACCAGCAGCAAGCAAAGGAAAGACGAACGATTCATGGTCGGTGGTGCTTGCTCTTATGCAGACACACAGGCGAGGGTGGGTCAATTGCTTCAAGTGTATGTGTGTACATATGCATCGACCTGTTTACGTTCACAGCAGTTCACTCGGTGTGTGTGGTTGAGCACCTAGGTAACATTCTTGCTTGTGACGGATGCGGATGCGATGCGAGCACACGTGTGTGTGTGTGTGTGTGTGTGTGCACCCCAGACAGACCAGAGCATGTGTGTGCAATGAGACAGATACAGCAAGGCAAGGACGATTTGTGGATGTCTGGAGTTGCAGAAGTACATTCAGGCACACTTGTCTCCCGTGTCATGTGTGTAAGCATGAGACAACCAAATATAAAATGTGGGCACCGATTGCCGTCCTCATGAACATGCTTGATGGCCGACAGCCGTAAACTGCCTCGGCCTGCCTGTTGGCTCCGCACGGTTGGCGTCCATACCCACCAGCGAGAATGTGGACAGGATGGGTACCTGTTTGCACATGTCCCCCGCCTGCAGCCGTCGCCTTCCCGCCTCCCCATCCTGGTACACCTTGAAGTTCCGGCTGTCATGCGGTGGCACCGGCATAAACTTCCTCAGTTTGCCTGTGCGCTCGATGTCGTTGACGTCGATACTCAGGTGTGATAAGGTGGAAAGGATGGTGAAGTGGAGCTGCAGACGCAGGTGAGGAAGCTCGAACACCTCGCGCAGCATGCCCAGGATTGTCTTGACATCATCATCATTAAAGCTGACCTCCCGCACGTGCTTCAGCGTGGCGCACACCATGGGCAGCACCGTGGTCAGCCGGCCAGTCCTGCACCCCAACTCCAGCATCGCGGGCAGCGATATCGAGAAGAAAGGGGCGGCCGCCTTGTTGTTGTTGGTCTGGTCGAGCTTGACCAGCAAGCAACCCAGAAGGCCGCCCAGGTTCGCGACGGTCTTCCGATAAGGACCGTCTTGGGCTGCAGGGTTGCTGGTGGCGTACATGAGGAGGTGCTCGATGGCGAACAACACGAGCCGAATTGTTGAGCGAATCACGAAGGGGATGGGCTGCGCAGCGTCGACTCCTGACAGGAATGCGCCAGTGTCTCGCGATCTTCTGGTCCTCTCGATGACCATGAACGAAAGATGAAGACTGTTCTGCTTGGTGAGTCGGTGCCGCCTTGAGCCCCTACATACATTCACAACAACACGGACACACAGCATGAATCAGTGGCGTCTTCCTCTCCTTCGTTACTTCCTTCCTCCTCGCTACACACGCCCAAAAACCTTGCAGTACGCGCATCCGCACTCCTTCCCGTCCTTCGGCTGCTGGAGCTTGCTGTTGTCGAGAGAGAAAATGATGCTGCTGAACCGCTCGAGAGGCGGTTTCTCATGAGCAGCAGAATGGCGGGGCTCGTGCTTTGCCGCAGATGTGCTGGTCGTGGAACTCTTTCAGCAGGTCGTGTGCTTTTTCACGATGCTGTTCGTCGACCCCATACTGAGGGCGTGTGAGTAGTGAAGAGTGTGTGGAGAATTGAGGGAACACGCCTTCTCTCGGTGATCACGACTTCTGCCCCTACACACATGACAAAACGACACATGATGTGCACAGCATGAGTGGTTGACGTCTGCCCAGCATGCTGCCCAGCAAACTTAGAACGACTTGCCTCCCAATGTGCGCAGCTGCACTCCTTCTCATTGAAAATATGACAGACGCGGATTGCTCGTAATTTGCTGAGCATAGTGGTCCGTGTAATGGACATGATCGCCAAAGGGAAGACGTAAATTAGGGTTTGCGGGGTCAGCTTGTCTCAAATCTCGCCGAAATTCAGCCGAATGCATTAATTGGATGATGTATGCACCAGACTGATATCACTGGTCATACATCACGTGCACCAGTCTTGACACTCGTCCGTGTGTGGCTGTCTGTATCGGCTGGCCCGCCTGTCTGTCTGCCTGTCCATCCGTCCATGTCCACGTGTGTTCAGTGAGTGAGTGAGTCTATGCCGCCATCTGCTGCTCCTTTTGGTCTTGTGTGACGGTGTCGATTGCCTTGGCCAGCGTCTCGTTGAGCAGCTGCACCGGCTCGCCGTCGTTGACGACGAACTTGGGCTGGCCGCCCTCACTCAGAGATGAGACGCCCTCAACCACAACCTAACACACAGAAAGACACACACAGACAAGAGTGTGCCTGCCTCTCTCTCTCTCTCTCTCTGCCTGTGTGTGTGTGCTCAGTGTGGTCACTTCTGTCACAGCTTTCTTTCTCTCTGGCGGGACGGCCAAGTGGGCGTCGTGGGCGTCTTCCTGCTCGGACTGACGACACTTCAGCGCATTGTACCTGTCCTCACACACACACTCGTCTGTCTCTCTGTCTTTGTGTCTGTCTGTCTGTCTGTCTGTCTGTCTGTCTGTGTTTGTGTGTGTTGTCCCACATTATATGGACTGACCTTTGTTCCTTTGTGCTGGTGGGCGGCAGCGCCTCGTCCAGTCCTGACGGCGGCAGGTGGTGGATGGCTCCCGGCCCAGAGTTGAAGCAGAAGACGGCCTCGATCAACGAAGACATCCACTCATCCCTTAATCGTTGTTGGTGTGGAGAGGTTTCCATACACACACAGACACAGAAGACACAAGGGCATTCCATCCACTGTGTGCCGTTTGTCAAGTGTGTGTGTGTGTCGTGTTGGTGTGTGCCTTTGTGTGGTGTTGAAGCCGCAGACCACGTGCCCGACACTCTCGTAGTACAAACGGAAACTGACACACAGACAGAAATCCACCAGGTGGGAGTGTGTTGGTGAATTTGTGTCTCTGTGTGTGGGCTGTGAGTGACCATTCCCGTGATCGTGCGAGTGTTTCGATTGGCATCTGAATGGCCGGCAGACTGAAACGCTTGAACAGCACGCCACCTTCAACACAGACACACAAAGACAGAGGAGTGTGGGCATTGTGTTGTGCTCTGTGTGTGTGTGGCAATTGTGTGCGTACGTTCCTTTGTGAGTCTGAAGTCCTGGTCAGTGATCGCCGCTGGAAAGGGCAGACACTCAGTGATCTCAGTCGGGTCCGGACAATAATCCAACACGCCCTCCTGTCATCACACAATCACACAGACAGAGATGGGCGTGTGTGTCTCTCCCTCCTTGGCTCGCCGACTCACTCGTGCGACTGAGCAGCCCGGTGCGGTCGCTCTCGCCGCCCCGCCGACCTGCTCGTCCTCAATTGACGAACGCACAGCCACAGCCTTCAACTCCTGCGCACACCAACTCACATGACCATCGTCATCTCGTGTGTCTCCCTCTGTCTGTCTGTCTGTCTGTCAGTGTCATGGTACGTGCCTGTCTGAGCTCTTGGGCCTGCTCGAGCAGCCGGGTGGCCGCCTGTGCGGCGCTCTTCGCATCAGCCAATTCGGCGGTCTGGTTGTAGGGCGCTGGCTCGTAGAGGTTGTGCAGCTGGTGCAGGCCCTCTTGCATGAAGCGGACTGCGGATTTTGACAGGCTGCGGAGCGATGGGAATGCATCGGTGAGGAGGGGCAGGCACAGACACAGGGCAAGCAGAAGGCAGCCGATGCGACGATGCATCGTCAACTTTGCCTATTTGATTGTGTGTGTGTGTGTGTGTGACTGGGTGGTTGATTGATTGATTGCTTCTCGATCGACAGATATCTGTACACGCGTACGTATGGACACACACATACGTACATGCACTTACATGTATGTGCATGTCTCTCATCATGGTCAATGACAGAGTCCAGCCACCCACTATGCCACCCACTAGTTATCGGTAGTCTTCTTTGAGTATCCATCTGCCCGGCACCGTCGGTCCGGTGCTCTTGTGGAAGGTGCAGAGACCCTTCAGCAGCTGCTTGAACACTGCCTTCTGGAACGACGGCACACGGGCACCGAACTCCTCCAGCACCTGAGAAGAGAGGGAGGAGACACACAATGGTGGACAAAACCGTCACGCGACATCCTCCCAACCGCACCCACCCGCACCCACCTCTCCTGTTGTGGCCGTGTAGTTCTTGTCTGCGCCGAGTCCATGAAAGAACTCCAGCAGCTCCCGGCCCTTCTCCATCTCGAAGGAGTGGGTCTTGACCTCTTCCGCCTCCTCCCCCCTGCTCTCTTCAGACGTGTTGCTCGTCTGCCGCTGGCTGGGTGGCGGCTCGCTCGGCGCCGCCACTGTCCCGGTGGCACCGAGTGTCTGCGACAGCTTCTTGAGCCCTGCCAGCAGGGATGCGGTCGCCGGCGACTCCTTGGGCGCCTTGCCGGGCAGCCGACTCGCCGCAGATGAGGCAGCCGAGCCCGGAGGAGCACCAGCACGGCCGTGGCGGCCAGTCCATGTCGGCACCTGGTGGACACCCATACAGGTGTATGAGATGCGCTGTCCGTTGTGTGGTCTGTGTGTGGCTCACATTGATGCCGTAGGACTGTCGCTCTCGCTGTGCCTTCTTTAACGCGGCTAGAGCCCTCGACGCTGCACACGCACGCAATCCATATGGATGGACGGGCAGGTGGTGAGCGGTGGACGGCCGAGCACTTTCCCATTTTGTGCAGCCAGGCAGCCGACCTGTCTTCTTGCTGTCATCGTTGACCAGGGCCGAGTCGAGATGGGACGTCTCGAGCCTATCGTGCGACATGGCCGTCTGCACGCCCTGCTTGCTGAACAGCGTCTCGAGCAGCTGGTTGTGCTGCTCCGTGGCACCCTGGCTCAGCTGGTGGTTCTCGCCGAGCGGCTGCGACGCCGCTGATGTGAAGGCGTCCGTCGTGGTGGTGCCGGTTGCCGTCACAGGACCCGACTTGGCGACGCGCTTGAACAACTCACGGTACCTGCAGCATACAGACGCGAGAAGCATGCAGCGATGAAGACAAAGCGGACGTGTGTGTGTTGCGTGCGTCTGACCGGTCGGGCAGCTCCTCGATGGTCTCAGGGTCGAAGCCCGGGGGCGGCGGAGGCATATCGAACAACTCCTGAGAGAGAGAGGAGAGAGGATTGGATGTTTGCCACATGGGTCTGAGGTTTCTCTCTTTGTCTGTTCGCTGACCTGCAGGTCGTTCCACTTGAAGAACCGTCGCTGCTTGGGGTCGTCGAGGACCTTCTGGCTGAGGAAGTGCTTGAAGATCTGCCGGTGGTAGATCTTCTCCTCCAGGGTGCCCGTCGACAGCAGCCGATAAACCGTCACCTCCCGCGTCTGACCGATCCGCCACGCACGCTCGCGCGCCTGACAACACACACCACAAGACACTTGACGATGGCCAACAAGAGTTCCGTGGGTGTTATGTTCTTCCCACCTGCACGTCGGTCATGGGGTTCCAGTCTGGGTCGAAGATGACCACTCGGTCGGCACCGATGAGGTTCAGCCCAACACCGCCCACACGTGTCGTCAAGACCATCGCAAAGATGCTCTGACAAGTGAGGCAGATGGTTGCTGCCTCGCTTGTGCGTGTGTTCTCTTTGCTCACGGTGTCGCTGTTGAATGAGTCGATGAGAACGGCCCGCTCCTTGATGGCCGTCTGGCCGTCCATCCGGATGAATGTGTAGTCGGCGGCCGTCATGAAGGAGCAGATCATCTTGAGCATCTGGACCGTCTGGCAGAAGACCAGCACCCGGTGGCCGTCTCGGTGCCACGTGGCGAAGATCTCTTTCAGCACCTGCATCTTCCCTGACCTGATGGATGGATGGATGCATCACGACCACACACAGCACACCATGAGCCATACCACTAAAGTGTCGTGTGTGTACCTGGCGGGGTTGCCGAAGTCCTCCGGGCGGCCATCCTCTGGCTCATCCAGGAGCAGGAGGTCGGGATGGTTGCAGATCTTTCGGAGGACCGACAAGACGAAGAAAGCTCGAGCACGTGACCTGAACCCACGCACATACGACCATACGCAGTACGGCAGCACCGTCAGTGCAGTGGCACTTGGCTGTGTGTCTGTGTCTTACTGCATAAGCTCGCCCATTCGATGTCCGGTGAGGAAGTCGACGTACACCTGATACTGCGCGACGCTGAGGTTGCAAAACAGCACCTGGTCGACATAGAAAGGTGATACATCCTTTGTTGGTTTGTTCGCTCATCCCTCCACCCAGCTTCGTAAGGATCGTGTTGTGCTCTGCTCACTTGTTCGGATTTGGCGGGCAGCTGCAGGATTTCCTGCACCTCCTTCTTGCTCCGTCGCAGCAAGTAGGGCTGCGTCAACTCCCTGACAGGTCAGCAGCACAAGAAGCAAGATGGTCCATTGCCGTGTGTTTGTCATCAGATGCCTGCCTGCCTTCATTTTCACCTCAGCAGCACCGCGCAGCGATAGCCCGCCTGGACCCTTGCCTGTGACGCATTCAGGTAACCGCCCTGCAACACACATGCGCACGTGGCGCGTGTCGATCCCTGTAGTCTTCTGCGGCGTGTGTTGTGTGTGTATGCGCCGATGTAGATACCAGTCTGATGGGCTCGGCGAACTCTTCGATGAACACAGGCAGCGTGCCCAGGCGGCCGGGGAAGCAGAAGTCGAACAGCGACCACAGCTCACGCAGGTTGTTCTGGATGGGCGACCCGGACATGATCAGCCGGTGCGACGTGTCAAACTGATAGATATATACATGGATAAGCAGACAGTGGTGATATCCTCCCTCTGTGTGCGTGTGTATGTGTGTGTGTGAAGGTACCCTTTTGACGGCTTGTGTGATGGCTGCGTCGGGGTTGCGGATCCTCTGCCCCTCATCCAGGATTACATAGTGCCATCGCTTGTCTAGCAGCAGGTCCTGCACACGCGCACACGCCACACACCGACATGGACCCCATGAGATCCACTTCTCGGCGCTCTCGCGTGCAGCCCGCCTGCCCACCAGATATGGCCGCAGCGATTCGTATGACGTCAGCAGCACACCGCACTGGCTGCTCGCTATCTCAGCCGCCTGCACCCGGCCCTTCGGACCCTTCACACAACACACATATACGCACGCACACATACACATACCCGGCCGTGAATGAGTGCACTGCACTATCTATCATCGGGCTCCTCACCTTCTGATGGAAGATGCACACCCGCAGCGGCGGGAACCATGTGTGCAGCTCGTTCTCCCACTGCTTGACCATCGTGGCTGGACACGCTATCAGCACCCCACCGCCCTTGCTGTGCGTCGCATCCTCACTGCTCGACGAAGGGACGGGAGACCGCCGCTCGGGGCCGGCAAACTCATCGTCGTGAGAAAGGCCCTCCTGATGGCACCACACACGCACGGACAGTGACGTTGGTGCACTGTTCCGCCCATCCATCCGTCCGTCCCACTTGGAGGATGCTGGAGTGATGCAGGGCGGCGATGAAGGCAGCCGTCTGGACGGTCTTGCCTGCACACACATCCACCAGACGACACATGAGGGCCACAGAATCATAGAGAATGGATGGCCGGGATGGATGTGCTGTGTGACGTACCCAGTCCCATCTCATCGCCGAGCAGCCCGCCCACCCCCTGCACATGCAGCCCCCACAGCCACCGCACGCCGTCCTGCTGATACGAGTACAGCGACTCCCACAGCCAACGGGGCATCCGCAGACGCCTCCCTCCCTGCTGCTGCTGCTGGTGGTGGTTGTAGACCGACTCCGGGATAACCGCCCCATGCACACTCTCGCGCGACGGCAGCTCCACCTCCACCTCGCTGTTCATGTCCCCCTGCCGCGCCTCGAGCCACTCCTTCATGCGGGCCTCGTACACCTTGTCGGAGGTGTCGTCGTGGGTCTGCGGCTCGTCACTGCCCTGCTCCAGCCTGCGACGCTTCGCTCGCCGATTGGGCCGCTCGTCCGACAGGTCGCTCAAGCCCTCACTGCTCTCGCTGTCGCCACTCAGGATGCGGTCACGTATCCGCCTCGGCGCCACGCCGCCGCCCTTGCCGTCGCCATCGGGCCGCCACTCGCCATCGGATGACTGGTCGTCATTCTCGAGGCTCAGTGGGGAGGGGGTGGGGGAGCGCCTCTTCTTGGGGGCGGTCTTGCTGGCTGGTGGTGGTTTGGCCTGGGGCGGTGCTGGGGCGGGACTGCCGCTGGCCCGCAGTCTCTTGAGCTTCCTACGTTTCTCCACCTCCTGCTGACTCTTGGGCACCAGCAGACGGCCGTCGACGTAGCGGAAGAACGATGACTTGTGCTCACCGTTGCGACCTCCGCTGGCCCCGGCGGGCTCGCTCCTCCCTGACGGCTCACGATCGATGCCATCGTTGGTGTGGGCACGTTTGGCCTTCTGCCGCTCGGCTGGCTGGGCAGCGGCTCTCTTGGGACCACTTTTGTCACCAGAAGCGGGAGGGGGAGGGGGGGCGGGGCCATGGCGTCGATTCTTGCGCGCGATGCGCCCAACCGACACGTGGTGTGGGGCGGCGGAGGCAGCAGCACTGCTTGACGGCTCGGCTCCGCTGTGACTGTTGCGGATGTCGTCGTGCTGCTTCTGCCGCTGGGACTTGAGAGATGCGACTTTGTCACTGAGGGACTGCCGCTGCTGCTGGAGCTGACCCAGCTGCTCCGTGCACCGGTTGAACAGCCGGTGGTCCTCTACTTCATGCTGCGGCCGGCCCGGCACTGACAGACAGACAGACCGACAGGCAGGCAGAGATCACAGCATGGTCGATGTCCATCTGTCGTGCACAATGTCAGCTTACCATTCTCTGTCTTGGTGCCGTCCACGCCCCGCTGTGCCAGCTGCTGCAGTTTGGCAGAAACAGCCTGTATGTCCTTGGCGTGCTTCTGCATCTGCTGCCGGTACGACTGCTCCTCGTACACCAAATCCAGCTGGTTGAGCACACCCTGACACCACACACCACAAAACGACAGAACAGAGAGCACATCGATAGATGAGTTATCTTCACACGATGGACAAGACAGGTTGGTTTGCCTTTTCTGATGACCTTTTCGACCCGACGGCTGTCGACTGCTTGCACGCCAAGCTGTTGAAGGCGCTCCATCGAGCCATCGCTGAAGCACATCGACACACAGCAACCATGGAACACAAACACAGGATCATCCGCGTGTTTGGCTAGTCTGCTGACCTGAGGCCAGGGAGGTCGGTATGGTCGTGCTTCTCGTCCTCATGGTTGGCTGCTGCCGGCTCCCCGTCCACCGGGAACCCTCTCGACGACGATGAAGTCATGTTCTTGTCGTCGATATTGCTACAAACGCAGAAACCTCCATCTGCTTCGCCTGTGAGTCGCCTGCTACAACGCACAAGTTTCTCCCCCTTTTCAAAGCTCGCAAACAGGAAGCGACGGAGGAGGAAAGCGCAAAGACGGCCCCTCGAGCGCGTGGCAAGGTTCTGCCGTCATAGCGCACCCTCAGGTCTTGACAAACCATGAGTGGTGAAACGACGGAGCGCCCGGCATGAGCGGGCACGCAAGAAGACACTCACCGGGTCATGATCCATGCCTTGATCCATGCATCCATCGCACAAACCGTAAGTGGGTCGGGAGAAACAGCACGCCAGACGCTATGGCATCTTCCTGTGTTTGCATGTGTGTGGACCTGCAGGAAGCCGTAGCAGCGTAGCTGAGCTGATCTCTGGTGTGTGTTGAGCGATGGATGGCCCGCCAGCCAAAGCCCCGCGCACAGCCGCTCCGGCCCAGAGTGACGACTCATCCAACCGCACCTCGTCGACAGGAGACCTCACGAGCCTTCTGGATGGGCTCATCTGGCTCAATGTGTCATCGTATCAGTCCGTCAAGGAGCGCCTGGCGATGAGCTGTGTCTGCCGGGCCTTCTACTGGGCCATCTACTCGCTGATCCGCGTCATCAACTGGCACCGCCCCAACCACGGCCTCAGCTGCAAGGGACCTGGCGGCAGCCTGGTGACGTTCGAGCAGCAGCAGCACGCCATCGTCCTGCTGCCCAGAGAGGAGGAGGTCGAGGAGATCGGCCGGGCGCGGCTCTTCGCCTTTGTGTCGCTGCAGCTGGTCTGCCACACCGACACGCTCAAGGCCATCCAGACGATACAGGCCAAGCAGCAGCGAGACAAAGATGGCGATGCAGGTGACGGCGGCGATGCCGATGAAGAGGCGAGCGGCCTGCCGGTGGCGCAGGTCAAGGGGCCCGATGCGGTGTTTGACTCGGTCAGGTCGGTTGAGGTGGACAGCCTCGACGGACTCCATCTCTTCCAGCAGCAGAAGCTCGTCTGCCCGGCACTCGACCGGCTCACCGGCAAGGTCCTCTCTGAGGACGAGACAAACCACATCACGAGAAACTGGCCCCCGTCCGCTGTGGCCAAACGAGCATCCCTGCGCAGTGCGTTTGATGGCAGTCTGGCGTTCATCCTCGGCTCGTCCCCTTCCCTCAGCCACCTGGACATCTTCCCACTGCTGTGCTGCAGCACGACCCTCACGCAGCCCCTCACGGCCGCTGCCCTCTCATCGCTCAAGAACCTGCGCCACGTCGGCCACCTCAAGCTGTGGGGCACCACGGCACGTGAGAGAACCAAGATGGTGACATTGCTGCAGCAGCTCGCGCCAGGCAGCAGCGGCGGTATCGCGGCGGGCTCGTCCAGCAGCGCAAGTGCGGCCCCCTTCCCCTCTCCCTCCCCCTCCCCGTTGGGAGCCGCCACGAAGCGCCAGCTCAAGGTCCACTGCCCCCTTCGCATCGTCCCTGACTTGACCGATCCGACTGTCTGGCCCTATGACTCAGTGGAGACGATTCAGGCGGCAGAGGAGATGGGATGGGAGGTGACGAAAGAGGGAGGCGTGACACGCATCTATTACTACGGGGAGAGGGTGGAGGGCCCGCCGACCGCCGAGACCCTCGCGCTCGTGGATACCATCAAACGGCATGCGGGAGGGGGCGACAGCGTGTCATTGGCCGATTGCGATTTCCGGTCCGGCGATCCTATCAGCCCCCACTTCAGCGGCATCCTGTTTGACAACGCTAGTACACTGCATGTGCAGCTCCGCATTCGCGGCCCTGACGTCGCTGCCGAGTCCTTCAACAGCATCCCCCAGTGGCTGACCGAGGAGACCACGCTCAAATCACTCAGGTGAGGCAAACAACACCATAACGGAGGGGCCATTTGTCATCTTTTGGGGTGTGTGTGTGTGTGTCGATTCAGTAACGTGACGGAGCTCTGGCTGACGAACATTGGTTACGTGCGTAATGTGCCAACTTGCGACCCCGAGTACCTGATCCCCCCCGCCACGCCCAACCGACTCTCGAGGCTCCTCTCATGCCTCCCCGCACTCACACACGTGCACTTCGACTGTCCGGAGGTGAACGGCATCCTGGTCACAGAGGTGCTGGCATACATTCAGCAAAGCGTCGGAACAAAGCCACTCAAGGTACAAACACACACACATGGCACGGTCACACCCCTCCCTCATGAGTGAATCCTTCTCACTTGGGTCGCAGAAGTTGGAGATAGTGTACGACGTGCCGCTCTTCGACCGGCCCCGCACCAAAGCGGCCGCCCCTGTCGCCTTCCCCTCACCCCACACCACCCGCCAGTACCCCACAGTGGAAGAGCTCAGCATCGAGATCGGTATGGATGACGAGGACGTCCAGAGAACCAACAACCCGAGAGCCGAGAGCGTCCCCGAGCGGCTGCGGGACCCCTTCCGCCTCGTCCACGAGGTGCGGCCGACGCACGCCACCTTCAAACTCACCGAGCGGGCAGACATCTTCGCCGTACCTGGCGACGCTGACCAAGTCGAGAACGAGCTCAGCTTGCTGTTCCGCGAGGGCCGTGTGCGCGACGACATGGCCGAGTACGGGATGGAGGTGCGTCGGCCCAACACCTATACTCGGTATGATGGTGAGCAGTCGTCGGCTGACGAGCTGGCAGTCCGGCCGCACGAGCACGAGTTGGCCGTCACGATGGTGATGTGGCCGGTGGACGACAGTGACGGTGTAGAGGAGGAGAGGGAGGGAATCGACGATGAGGAGGGCTGGACGGACTGAGGAGAGCAGGGGGGAGATGGTTAGTTGCCGGTGTGAATAGCTACTTAGTGTACAGACAGACGAGAGAGCAGGCCGACCGAATGCTCGGCTGCGGCTCTGAGACGAACACTGCTGTGCGGTGGCTCGCCATCTGCGCGACGCCGTGCCCACTGATTGAGAGACCCCTGAGTAGGTAGCGGGGGATGGGTGGTGCAGACTGCTCGAGTGCCACAGATACGCATCCATGTCATTGACTCATTGTTATGAATGCATCCACATGTTGTCCACTCTGCCTCCCTCTTGGATTCGCGAATGTGTCGGGGAAGGCCACACGAGCAGCCACTCGTGTGTGTGCAGGCTGGCATTCGTTCTCATCTACCGGGTTGCCACACGCTCGCGCTTCCAAAATCTGGGCCTCACAGCCAACAAAGTGACCCTCCCTCCCCCGCCCAGGCTGTGGCCCTCCCAACGTGAGGCCCTCATGGAAAGTAAGACAGACAGGGGCGGCTGTGGCCGCCTGCACGTTGGTTGATGCTTTCTCCCTATGTCTCCTCTAAAGACTTCTGCGTCTCGTGCGACGAATGCACGATTGCAGGTGTGTTGGCAGCCGGTGTTGAGACAGACTCACGTCGATGAGATGTGTGTGTCTCTGGCGCGTCTGAGGACAAGAATAAAGACCATCGTAACAATCCTGACGAGCCATAGCGTCACCCACTGAAAACCTCTTCCACACATCCAACCGCCCGGCTATTATACATCCCCCCCCATCCATCCATCCAGCCATGTCTCCCTGTCTCTCTCAGTCCATGATGATGTGCGCCCCCCCTGCCCAGCCACTCCGCCAGGCTCTCCCGGTCATCGTCAGCACCGCCAGCGGCACCCGCACCCTCGTCGATGTCCATCGGCTCATAGTCACCGCCGCCCTCCGAGGGGTCCTCCTCTGCGGCCAGGCGGCACCGCGCCAGATCCAGCCGGCACTGCCAATCAGATGCACGGCTGATGGCCTCCATCTTCTTGTGCAGGCGGCCCAGCACTCGGGGGTCGTTCCACTTGAGCGTCTGGCGGCTCTTCCCCTTGCCGCGCGGCGCCCTCTTCATCTTGGGGAAGGCGTCATGGCCGCCCGCCGCCTCTGTTGTCTTGACGATCTCGCCCTCCCGGCCCTTGTTCCACGGCCCCCACAGCACCTCCTCCCCCAGGCCACCGAAGACGGGCGGCGTCTCGTCCTTCTCATGAGACTTGGGGCGGCGGACGGCGGCTCGCTTGGCCTTTGGGAGGGGCTGGTGGTCGCTGTCTGTGGGGCTGGGTGACGGGAGGGGGCTGCGGGTGCGCTTCTTGCGGTTCTGTCGCAGCACCATGCCGTGAGCATTGGGGCCGCTGGCGAAGGGGTCGGGCTCCTGCGGTGGGTCAGGGGGCGAGGAGAGCCGATAGCGGTGGTGCTGGGAGACGGTGGGCGACGGCAGGAGGGCTGAGGGTACCGGGCTGGATGAAGGTGGGGAGACACAGAGAACAAGTTGACGTCTGATGGATGGATGGTGTTGCCCCTTTGATCCCTTTGCCCACCTGTGGTCGATGGTCATTTTGGCGGGGGGCGATGCGGTGGCGATGGCTGTGTGGACGGGGTGCGTCGACAGCACCTTGCGATTGCGACGTAGCTCGGCCGCCAGCGATTTCCTCACAGACCTGACAGACAGACAGACAGACAGACAGGAAGGACACACACATGTCGTCGTGCGTCGGTGTGGCTTCCGTCCTCGGCTGCCATGACTGACTGTCTGTCAGCGTACCCTTGAGCGGTGCGACTGTACTCGTTGTGCTCCTCTGGCACCTGTCTCTTGTCCTCCTTTGGCGGCGTGCTGTTGTCCCCCTGGCTGTCGTCCGCCGGGAAAGACGGCGTCTTGGATATCGTCTTGGATGGCAGCAGGGGCGAGGGGTCGGTGCCATTAGCCTCGGCCGACGACAGTGTGCCCGGCCGGCGGCTGATGGGAGGGCGACTGACAAACACACAGAGACAGACAGAGACAGACAGACAGGGAGGGAGGGAGGTGAGCTGTGGTGGCTCGTGTCTGCTGGCTGCAGGGGCACAGACATACCTGTCCAGCGGGAGCGGGGGGGCTGGCGCCTTGACCTTCAACACACGCAGCTGGTCCGCCAAAGAAGCCCTGAACCAACACACACATGAATTCAGCGATGGCCGGCGATGCAGCTGGGTCTTCCCTTCGGTGCCTACTTGGCGCCGGGCCCATTGCCCGGGTTATCCTTGATGGTGTGGCCGTGCACAGGGATGCCCGCAGGCAGGCGATCCTTCTTCAACTCAAACGGCGAGACACTGAACAAGGACCACGGCATTGACTCAGTCTCTCTCGTGTGTGTCTCTTTGTGTCTGTATGTCTCTGTCTGACCTGGTGGCCTTCGCCGCTGCAGTGTCTTTCAGCAATGTGCCCTCGACGAGGCCGCTAACCATCCCCGGCCCCATGTCACACACGTGCATGCCCTCACCCTCACCGAACCCCATCTGCTGTCCATAGCCTCCCAGCCCCATCTCGACACACAGCGTGTGGCTGTTCGTCGCGCGCCTCTCTTTGCGCACGCGGTGCGCCTCGCCCTTGCCCTGCGTCTGTGCCTTGGACGACTTGCCGCCGGCCCGTCTGGCGGGGCGCGGCTCGTACAGGTCATCGTCGTCATCCTCACCATCCGCCAAGAAACGGTCGTCGAGCGCCGTGACATTTGGCGCGAGGATGCTGGAAGACGCCTTGGTGGCCCTGGTACGGGTCGTCTTCTTGGGGTGGCGGTGGGTGGGGGCGGGGGGGAGTGCCATGTCAGCGAAACGGAGGACCTGGTACTTGGGGGAACCTGCAGGCAGACAGAGAGACACATACAAACGTGCTTTGCCAAGTAAGGGTCAGCAGTAGCTTGCGCACCGTGTGAGCTTCCGAGCGTCATGGCTCCACTGGTATGGTCCGACACAGTCTGCAGACCTGCAAAGGCACATCAAGGGAAGGGCAGACGAGATGCACCAATAGGCTCTGGTTGCTGATCGGCGTGGTGGCGTGTGTGTTTGTGTGCGGCTGCGGCTCAATGGCCACCGACGTACCTATGATGGCCAGCTTAGACCGGTAGTCGGTGGTCAGTCTCTCCAGCAGCGACAGCGGCAAGTTGGCGAGCAACATGTCCCACTGGGTCACCAACACATACCTGCACACAACACATCACACCAGAGGACCATACAGCATCCCGCCATCCGCCCACCATTGTGACCCTCACCGAATGGTCTTCTTGCACTTGAGCCTGTCGAGCATCGCCTCGACCAGCACTCCCAGGTGAACGGGATAGCCCCCGCCATGAGGGTCGGGCCGCCGGCTCTTCTCAATCATGTCGGCCACCTCCCGCTGAATGGCCGTGTTGCCTCCCTTGGTGCGGCCCCACGCGGCCACCGAGATGTCCCGCAGCACCGTCACGGCATCGTATGTGCCGCCTCCACTGCTGGACGGCGAGAGGCGCAGGAACGCGTTCTGCGTGGTGGTCTTCTTCGTCTTGGTGTGGCTAGCCAGCTGCGAGCTGAGGGTGCCTTGGACGAGATTTTCCACCTCGAGAGCGTCGAATATCGTCGAACGGACCACAATCATATCGCCAGAACCCTCACTGTTGCACCTGCACCACACACACGATGACACAACCAAAAGCTTTGGGGCCCATTGGAATGCGCATCTATCTAACGCACTGAGTGTCACAGATGGCCATGCATGTGTCAGGACAGCCCAACAGAGCCTCACGACACGTCACACCATTGCAGTGCACCACTGAGTCCACCGAATCGGTGATCTCACCTTGAGATGAAGGCCTCGAGTGCCTTCATCTTGCTATGGGTCACAGATTCCAGCTCCTGAGCCATCGCGGGCGACAGCCCCGCCCCTGGGAGGGCTGGCAATGACGTCATGATGGCGCCACGAGCCCCTTGGTGCGGACGGTGAGCGAGACAAAGGATAATGAGGCTTTCGGTGCTCCTTCGCACTGCTGGTCGAACCAGATGGACACCTTTGGGAGACAGAAGCCCTATAGCAGTCTGAAAAGCAGATTTGATGTCGTGGCGGCTGGGATCAGGGCTCGCAGATCCCCGCCAGGACGGCCAGGAGCCCTCCATTTTGTGGCAGTGATGGCGCCGCCTTTGATGCAGATGACAGCCCACTCCTATCCATCGCGTCCACCGCCCTCACACAACACACGCAGCTATTGCTCTCACTCTCTATATCGACAACATATCTACAGCTTCCCATCTGGTCAAATGGGGAGCTTGAACCCAATCCGACACAAAGCCCCCCCTCGGCCCTCGGCGCCTGTTGACAGTGCCCTTGTGGCCGCTCTCGGACAGGCCTTGCCCTCTCAGTGAGGCTCTCACATATCGCCTGCTGTCAAGCGCCACTCCGCGACGACACCTTAGTCAAGCCGCGCAAGTTCCAGCGCTCGCGAGTCGATGGCGACCTATACTGTATCGCTGGGGATGAATGACACGGTATTGGAAGTCCGTCTGAAGAGGTCCGTGTTGGTGTGGACGCTTCCTGGCTGCTGCAGATTGAGCCGTCTGGCGTTGGATGGCGGCGGCTGGAAGCGTTGAAGGGGAGGGCAGAGAGGGAGTGGCGGGAGGCGGCATAGTGGGTGTGGAAGTCTTGCACGCTGCCGGCACTGCACACACCTCGTCAGACCTGACGACCTGACAAACAGAAACACACACAGACACAGACAGAGAGAGAGTACAGCGCATCTCTGTTGTGTGTCCGGTGCTCTGTCTGCCTGTCTGTCTGTCTGTCTGTGTGGGTCAGTTGGTGATGCATGATATGGATCAGCACGCCCTCTCGGAGAGGCTCAGCCGACACAATGGTGGTTATACTAGTGTTGTCATCATCGCGTCCACACCACACACGCCGCTCTCTGACGTCCCTCACCCACACACATGCGGCTCCCTCTTACCCCCTCTGAGCATCTCGGGGACGACTCGAGAAGACCCGTACCTCGGCAACTCTGAAACCACAGCCACACACACACACACACACACACACACGTATCACCCGACAGTTTGAGAATCCCGTCAGCTTTGTGCTGCCAATAGAGGCGGGTGACCATGTCGGCGCTCGCTCGGCCGTTCGTCGGTCTCCGGCGTGTGCGAATGAAGACGGATGTCCTGGAGCAGACAAACAGGCCAATCAATGGACAAATCTGCTGCTGTGCCGCTCATCATCTTCGATGTTGCCAAATGGATGTTGCCAAGACGGACAGCATCGGACAGGAATCCATAAGTAGCCTTCCCGACTTCGCTTCTGTGCGATGATAGTAAGAGCTGGTTTTGATGCTGCCTGGTCCTGGTTCTGCTGCTGGTGCTGCTGCTGCTCTTCATTGCTGCCGCTCTCGGATGGTTCCGTGGATATGCAGACGGCAGGCTGCACTGGTGGTGCTGGTGGTGGCGATGGTGATGGTGGTGGCTCCTCCTCCGAAGGTGGTGGGTCTTCATTCGTGTCCTCCGCGTTCGTCTCCTCCTGGCGGCTGCACAGAGGCGGAAACACACCACACACATGAGGGAGTGTACAGCCAAGAGCCGCATTCTCGCTGACCTCCCGTCGTCGTCGGTCCTCAGGGAGGCCTCCAAGCGCTCGATGAGCTGCATCATACAACAACAGCCATCCACCGACTTTGTTTAGTGCTCTTGGAGCGTTTGTCGGGTTGGATACCTCTCTGTTGTCATCCAGCAGCTGCTCGAGCCTGTCGACGTCTTTGGATCTGCAGAAAGAGAGCCGGCCGGTTTGTGCGTCGGGTCGTCTGGCGAGATGAATGAGTGATCTTTCTTACTTGACGCATTCTGATATCGCCACGAGCAGCGCACCCCTGGCGGCTGTCCGCAGGCGCCTCCGCCATTTCCCTCTCCTTGTTTAGGCTTCAAGCTCGCAAAAGTGAGAAAGGGAAAAAGGAGGCGGGGAGGAGGACGGTGCGGTCGCATGAGCGCTCGGTGAGGTCTTGGCTGTCCTAGCGCACCCTCAAGTCCGAGCAACCCATCGGCTGCCCGCCGTTCGACGGGCTCACAAGAAGACATGCATCCATCGCACAAACCGTAAGCGGGTCGGGCGCAACGGCGCCAGACGCTATGGCATCTTCCTGTGTTTGCATGTGTGTGGACCTACAGGAAGCTGTAGCAGCGTAGCTAAGGTCTTTTGTGTGTGTTGAGCGATGGACGGCCCGCCAGCCAAAGCCCCGCGCACAGCCGCTCCGGCCCAGAGTGACGACTCATCCAACCGCACCGCCTCGAAGAGCCTGACGAGCCTTCTGGATGGGCTCATCTGGCTCAACGTGTCATCGTATCAGTCCGTCAAGGAGCGCCTGGCGATGAGCTGTGTCTGCCGGGCCTTCTACTGGGCCATCTACTCGCTGATCCGCGTCATCAACCGGCACCGCCACAACCACGGCCTCAGCTGCAAGGGACCTGGCGGCAGCCTGGTGACGTTCGAGCAGCAGCAGCACGCCATCATCCTGCTGCCCAGAAAGGAGGAGGTCGAGGAGATCGGCCGGGCGCGGCTGTTTGCCTTCGTCTCGCTGCAGCTGGTCAGCCACACCGACACGCTCAAGGGCATCCAGACGACACAAGCCAAGCAGCAGCGAGACGGGAATGATGATGCCGATGAAGAGGGGAGTGACCTGCCGGTGGCGCAGGTCAAGGGGCCCGATGCGGTGTTTCCCTCGGTGACGTCACTTGAGGTGGACAGCCTCGACGGACTGCATCTCTTCCAGCAGCAGAAGCTCGTCTGCCCGGCACTCGACCGGCTCACCGGCAAGGTCCTCTCTGAAGACGAAGTTGGTCGCCTCGAACTGCCGGCCGTGTTCGATGGCAGTCTGGCGTTCATCCTCGGCTCGTCCCCTTCCCTCACTCACCTGGACATCTTCCCACTACTGTGCTGCAGCACGACCCTCACGCAGCCCCTCACGGCCGCTGCCCTCCCATCGCTCAAGAACCTGCGCCACATCGGCCACCTCAAGCTGCGGGGCACCGGCACACTGGCGACGAGCAACACTGAGACAACCAGGGTTGTGACATTGCTGCGGCAGCTCGCGCCAGGCAGCGGCGGTATCGCGGCGGGCTCGTCAAGCAGCGCAAGTGCGGCCCCCTCCCGCTCCCCCTCGTCCTCCCCGTTGGGAGCCGCCACGAAGCGCCACCTCAAGGTCCACTGCCCCCTTCGCATCGTCCCTGACTTCACCGATCCGCCTGCCTGGCCCTATGACTCAGTGGAGACGATTCAGGCGGCAGAGAAGATGGGGTGGGAGGTGGTGAGAGAGGGAGGCAAGACAGCCATCCATTACTACGGAGAGAGGGTGGAGGGCCCGCCGACCGCCGAGACCCTCGAGCTCGTGGATACCATCAAACGGCATGCGGGAGGGGGCGACAGCGTGTCATTGGCCGATTACGATTTCCGGTCCGGTGATCCCATCAGCCCCCACTTCAGCGGCATCCGGTTCGACAACGCTAGCACACTGCATGTGCTCCTCCGCATTCGCGGCCCTGACGTCGCTGCCGAGTCCTTCAACAGCATCCCCCAGTGGCTGACCGAGGAGACCACGCTCAAATCACTCTGGTGAGGCAAACAACACCATAAGGG